ATGTAAAATTAATTGATCAAATTTTAACTTGGTAAAAAATGAAGTATTTGAACCTTTTTTTTAAAAAAAAAATTGTTTAAATCTTCATTAAACTTTTCCATATTCGAATAAGTAGTTAGGTATGCACTGAATGAATTAACCTGCACTATACAAACGATTCACGGTTACTAAATAGTTCATTTTTGAGAATAGGTAAAAGGCCGACTGCACGATAATCACTGCAACTTCATATAATATAAATTATAAATCAGTAAATATAGTAATAATATATTATGTCACATACACGCGTATATATGTGGACAAATGGACATCCCCATTGTAAAAATACGATAAGAACAAACAAATTAGTTACAGATAATAATTTTTAGATAATAATTTGACTTTATTTTAACTATGTTTTACGATTTATCATATTTCATTAAATCATATCATCCGTTATCTATATTGCCCAATATACGAAGGGCATTTTATATACTATCCGGACAATGTATAAAATGCCCAAATTGTATACTTTGCCCGTAACATATACATATATTTATCAAATTCATGACCAGAAACAATCCCTTATTAAAGATAAAATACAAATAAGTACCAATAATTAGTTTTTTAAATATTGAATATTTACACATTATATTTACAATATAATAAACGGGTTTATGAACTTTTAATACACGTGTATTAAGATACACGTACCAACCAAGAGCTCTTGTAAAAATCAATGTTACCAATATGAGATTTGACTTAAAAGACGTGTAATTTTTTTCATTAATTGAAGATTTATTTTTTAATATTTATTTGGTACACAGTAAACACGTTTGTATATTTGTCTGACTCAAAATCCAAGCTTAAAATTTAAATTAAAAAATATTACCTTTCGTATGTTTATTTATTGACTTCTATCATAATATATTTTATATTTTTTATAGTCTGTATTATATATATATTTCTATCTTAACCGAATATTACCAAGCAAAACATAATATATTCACAAGTGTATGATAAAAATAATAACTTACTTATTAATAAATATTAAATATTAGAGTTATAAATTGACCATCGTATTATTTATTCTTTCCGTGTTTGAATCTGTCCCGATATGTTTTAAATAAATAGTGACCAAGTTATACGTTATCGCGTGTTTCCTGTTAATTATATAGTAGTATTTCGAACATAATCTCTTTTTAATGGAATAAATTCTAATTTTAAAATTACTAAGTCTATTTTTTCGAAACTGTAAACGTTATACATATATCGTTTACTGATTTTATGGTAGTCCTATAATTATATTTTTACTTATATCAGTGGCCATAATATATTAGTACCGGTCGTAGTCAGGTTCATAGTACGTCGTTGGAACGTAGCCGAACATTTTTGACTAAAGTGCATTATAATATATATAATATATATATTATGGCGAAAGCAAGTGAAATAAAATTCTAAATATTGGATCTCTATAAAGTGGTTTTCTTCTTTTCTTTTTTTCATCACATGATCGAGAACGCCATTTATGTAATTAATTTGCTATTTGTTCAATATGAAAATAATCATTTTTTTTTCAAGTGAAATTAAATCATACCCGTCTTTTAATATTTTAACATCATGTTATAGTAGAAAATAGGTATATATATATATACATATATTTTAACCGGGAGAAAAAACAAAAGTTAAATTGAAAAATGAAATGTTCTTAACTTCAGTTAATAATAGATGTATTTATATAATATTTATATTATTTTCCAAATATGATAAAATTATAACCATCTAGGTATTTAAAATTCAAATACAATTTAAAATAATGACATATATAAATATATATTTATTTACGTACATACATACATACATACATATACACATATAAAAGATATAACACAAAAGAAATTTGTCAAAGTGTTATTTCATATTTTTTCTAAAATAAATTTCTAAATATTTATCAAGATAAATATGAATACACAAAGATAAATTATATCGCAGAAATAGCTTTAATAAATTTATTTTGAGAAAATCGATCATAATCAATCGCACATAACAATATATTAACTCCGATTTTATTAATTCAATTACAAATACAAATTATTTATATTTAATTATGTATACATAATTATCCAAATAATCAGCATTTGTTTGATATTTAAACTTTTAATAGTCATTATGATCTCTGTAAATACATATTTAAACAGCCAAATAACGATAATTCGAGCCTCGATGATATGAAATGTTTGATAACTTAAATTACAATTCAATTTCCATCAAATATATTTTAATATTATAATTTATTCTGACACATAATTAATATATTATTCTTTTATCGAAGGCGGTTGGGTTTAAAAATGATTGCAATACGATAAAATGGTTGAACAAGTGAATCATGTTATTAATAATTTAAATATATTCAAACTCAAAACGTTTATTTATAATGCATCTGTTTATATCAATGTCAATGTTTTGAAAAAATTAAAACGTTAGAATAATTTTGTGCAAACGAACTATTGATGAGAGCAGAATCTTAAATTATTATCAAAAGAAGAAGATACGGTTTTGATCTAAAATATATATATGTATAATTAATATGGTAAAATCGTTAATCGTTCGGCAATGTGATAATTCTTTGGAAAACTGTTAACAACGATCTTGAAACACACTTGATATGTAATTATATTATTAGTTATCTGTACGTGTTTTTTTACAGGCGAAAAGTGTTTACAACCTTTAAAGATAAATGTCATTTAAGTAACAAATTAGCCGCTTTGATTCCGGTATTTTCACGTCCACTATTCGGGCATAGAATGAGTTAATTGTGATAGGTAATGTGCAGCTTAGGCAGTAATGAATATTGAAAATGTCAAATATATACGAACACGTATAACTTGTGTTGTGGAAAAAAAAAATGATTTTCCATTTGCGGATCGGATGTTCCCTGTAGAACGAGTAACCAGTTTTTCACGAGTCACTTTTATTTTTATTCTTATAGAAACAATCACTGTAGCACTTTTGCTTTACGTTGCGCGTAATACTATATTTTTAATTTCAAAACACATCGTATATCGTTAATCGATTTATTCCCGATAGAAGTAAATACAAAATGTATGTTTACACCGATCATTAGATTTCATAATGATTATTTATACAACGATAAATAACATAAATAACAGTAATAAAAATAATAGCGTCAGCTCAACAAGTATCCTATTATCCTATTGAAAAATTAATACAATAGTGTAGCGCGTTTTGCATACAAGTTACGACGACCGGTTGTTGGTACTAACGAATCCAATTAAATGTACCACAATTAATAAATAGTTCCCTTGAACGTTGTGGCCCGAGAGTGTTTCGAACCAGACACGGAAAAAATAAGTCCAATAAGTGAGTGTAATCTGTACGCATACGTAAATGAATTACGTGCAACATTCTATCGATTAATCAATTGTATCGTAAAACATAATATTATGTGTTGTACGATGTGTGAATGCTATGCTTGTTTTAACTTTCACGGTACATTTAACATTAATGATATCTTATATCAGACTTATAATTAATGTTAAATTTTAGAATAGACTTTATTTTTTTAGTGCACTGTAAAAACCTTCTTCTGTTTAAATTAATACTGAACGGAAACATTTGAACACTTATATATAAGCTTACTACGGTGGTGTACACAGGTAAAAAACTGAAAACCGTGGTGCCATAATCGAGACACGAGAATAAAGGTGATCCCGCGATATGAATGATTCTAGGAAAAACTGATTCAAAATAAAAAATAAAAATCAATTAATGACCCATAAAAATCCAATTTCATACCAATTTTGTAATTTAATCAATCGTTTTTCATTTGGTAATGGACTTTCTGTTCGTTAGACATTTTATTTCAGATTTGTTGACTAAACACCCGATTTGAATACATTTAACTTAACTTTATGGATGAATACGAAATAGTTTGATATTTATAACTCACTCGTTTTCAATTTTATTGTAAAATTAACGACTAATGTGTCGATTACAAATCGGTATCGAATGAAAAATTGACGATTGTTGTTTTTTTCCGTATAAATATTAAATAAGATCGCATAAAAAATAACAAAAAGTTTCATTTCGAAAACTATGTATTAAATTGAAAAAGTTAGTGTCGATGTAAAATGAGGAAATAGAATATTTCGTGTTTCCTCATCACTAAAACTTGAGCATTTGATTTACGATTTCGACATGGATAGTACTACACGCATTTAGGTGTCCCGCGACTAAAAGAACGAATACATTTTAGTAACTGTTCCACAATGCGCGTCGATGGTTAACCAATCGTAGCTCGTCTCGTATTGATTATAGATTTTAATTTCGATATCATATCAAAGTTAAATTTTGCACCGAATAGGTAAAACATTTATGGCTACAGTGACGGACATTCGAGTTGTTCAAACATATTGCACATACATATTCAGTGAAACTTCCGCACCACAAGGATCCATGAACATATTTTCGAGGATCACGATTTAAAAAAAAATACACAAAAAAGTATATTAAATGTTGAAACAGATAACGACACTATAACAGATTTGAAAATCGGTCGTGCCCGTTTAAGTTAATTTGCTTTGGCGGAAGATTCAACGAACAACAGTGCATGGTCATGCGACGGTTGTAAATGTCGAGAATCACAGTCCTCGCGACTCGTGCAATAAATAAACACAAAGCTTATTATACGCATACTTGCTTGTAGTAGATAGCCCATGGTCATATATTGTTGAAAGAGACTACACGCCCTCCAAATAAGCGCAAAAATTGATATTGTATCATATGTGTATGATTAACACGAGACTTTTTATTCACTCCTCCTTCACACAAAACCGATAATATTTTTGAGAGCATGCTTGACGACGAGACACGAATACTTAAATACCTAATACTTAGTTAATAGTACGATGGAGTGCTTAACTCCATTGAATAGGACGGTGTAAGAGTAAACGTAAGTGGGGGGTAACGAAAGGCAACTGAATCGACGAACAACCACTAACCTGTACCGCGGTCGTGATCGGCGACTGCCCGGTTTTTGAGTTCCGTGCGGTCCTGGGAGTCAAGTCCTGTGCTGTTCCGGTATCCGAGTCCTGCGCGGTCCCGGTAGCCAATTCGTGCACGATCCTAGGAGCCAGGTCGTGCACGGTCCTCGGTGCCGGGTCATGCGTGGTTCTGAGAGCCGGGTACTTGGGAGCGGCGCACGGTGGCCGGGAATTTTGGGCCCAGGGCGAAGGCGTCAAGATACCCGTAGTCCTGGGCAGCTGCCGGATCCTGGACGGCGGTGGATCGTACGCGGGTGGTGGAGTGCACGGACGGTGGTATCGCGACGGCGGTGGCGGCGGCGGTGGCCGAGTGGTGAACGTGTCCATGTGCCGACGGGGGTCCAGCAGCGGTCCGATACCCAGCGCTCCGGCGGTCGTCATGAAGCCATCCATGCTGTGGCCGGGCACGACGGCCGCGCCCGTGTACACGAACTGGAGCACGCGCTCCACGTCCTCGTGGCCGACGCCCTGCAGGATGATGGTGATGCTGTCGTCCGCGCCGCGGGGATGACCGAGGAACAGCGTCTGCGAACAACAATTGCCGGTACAGATATCGCACGCGGTCGGTTGCGGTTTCACTGAGTGGCGCCCACCCACCTACGGGCCACTCGGGTTTCCTCGTCCATCGCACTGTTGGGTTTTTCTTTCGCTCCACTCTATCGCACTCTCACTCTTTCACTCGCGCGTGGCCACGACAATTATTGCTCGACGACCGGGCGGTCACCAGCCACATCGTAATAGCAATGCTGGCCGATAAGCTCGTGCATTTGTCGTCGTTGTTGTTTTCGTGGAGATAACGCCGGCGGTCTTATCTGTGCACGCGGACTCGTCGTTTTTCCCGCCCGGTTCGAACGATCCGTTTGCCGCACACTTACCGTACGTAAACACGCGAATCCCACGACACATTTTAACCTACGTTAGCCGAAACCACCCCCTCCTCCATTTTTAATTTTTCAAATTTTTCTTCTACGTCCGCAATTAATACTCACGATTCCGGTGAATTCCTGACAATATTTTTTACAATTCCTGCTCCTAACTAGTTTTTCCGGAAAGTCGAATTTTCCAACGTTGACTCCATATCAGATCGTAGAAAATTCCGGAAAAACCGGTAGAGCAGGAATTATGAAATTGTGGCCAGGTATTTGCCGGTATCGAGTATTAATTATTGACGTGGAAAGAATTACAAAATTAGAGCAAGGGTACACCAAATTTGCGGTAGGTGTGTTATCGTTTTAGCACCGTCCGTCAGTAAACTTAACGGAACACGGATAACGAACCAACTCGAGTGCAAATTGCGCGGCAACCGTTATCGCGTTTACGTACCGCTGGCGGGAGAACGTCGCGGTACCGCACGTTTTCGCACGTCTAACGCAGGACCTTCATCAGGGGGGGGGGAGAAAAACGGGATCATTTCGCCCTAGGACCCAGTCTAAGAAATTTTAAAGGGGCCCCTTAAAATCCAGATTGATTAGAATTACTCGGCGTTAAAGGTTATTGATATTAATGTACTGTTTTTAAGCCTTTTTTCTTTATGAAATATTAATACATTTAATCGAATAATAAATTAACTTTAATTTATATTATATCGCTATTGAACGAACTAAATTTTGAGTTATTCTAATTTCTATATAGCGAAACTGTAATTTATTATAATTGTTACCGGAGCGCGAAGAATGACATAATTCTATTAAAATTTACGTAGTAGATATTCGTTATCGCAATTTATTGTTTTCTATGGCCGTTTAAAAAATTATCTAAGAATAAATTGAGTTCAAATCAAACGTGGTAATGGGTTGTCGAGAAGTTGTTAAAAAAAAATCGTGATCCATTGCAATTCGATGCGTCGACCTTGATCGGTCAAGGTTTGTAATGGTATATTCACTAACATTTCGCGCGAACTCAATGCGCGTTCGACTGTCGCATTCGGGAATTATTGCGACGATCAAAGGGGCCCCCAATCGAATATGTCCCGGACTTCGAGAATCCTTAGGACAGTCCTGCTAATGCGTGCGACGCGGACAGGATCGCCGGTGTCGTCACACGGTACGAACGACTCACGGCACGTCGTCGGTCGCGCCTTTGCTGATTACTAACGTTTTTCCCTGTGACATTTTTGACGAGTTTTCACATCGTACGGGTTGCGCTTTCTTTTTTTTTTACACGCACTCGCAGAGGTTCTCGCGCGCCTTTGTGTGTTGTGTAATCGTCAACCCGAATTTTTTGCACGACCCGTCTTGGAAACAGTCTCGTATTCATGCGCGACAAGTATGAAAAACCCGCCTCCGCCCGCTTAGTGTTTCCAACGAATCGCAATCGTTCAAAGGAACTGTCTCTGTTCAAACCTTTAAACGATATCCGGTGAAGTACACGTTATCGATAATTGATGTCTGTAAAAGCACGGGTCCAACAATGGAATCGAATGTAACGTACGTTGTACGCGTACATTTTAAAAGGTCTGAACGCTTAATTTGTTCGTCAAGAAAAACAAGACGAAAAATGTTTTATTTATTTTCAATGGAACCACCATTTCGTGCAGGTAGACACTAAAATGAGAATATTTTATCAACGTTTTTCGTCGAGAAACGGCTACGTCGATCGCATAACGTCAACGACATACGTGCTCTATTTTCACGGACGGCTGTGACCTTGCCACGGCGTTCAATCCAGGGGCGCCATTTCAGTATTTTTTAAGGGTGTGCAGGCAATTAAAGAGGCCAATTTTTTCCCACCACCAGGCCAACATTTATGATTAACGGTGATAACCGATCAGTTACCGATCATCGGTGCATGCACAACATTAAAGATTGAAAAACTGAAGGCCAAAGTGGCAAGGTCATGTATCAGTGACGCCTAGGCGAACAATTTAAGAAAAAAACGTTAAAATTCAGTGCGTGCGAGTGCACACCCTGCTCCCCTCCCCTTTGAATGGTGCCCCTGGTTCAATCACTCGAAAAAAACGGTACCCCGCGCAGACGGTCGGACGACAATTGTTCCGTGTACCACGTCCCGTCTACTCGCACGTCACGCGCGCGCTCACCTCGCAATATCGTAATTGAGTCGGCACTCGTTAACATCAATGATAAGCCTCTCGAACCGAATCGCGGCGGCACGCGGTCGGCGAATTTTTAATTGCACGCAACCGTTTACGGTTATTTCGGCGCGCGCCTAACGGACGATTCAAACCCGACCGCGGCCGCGTGAGCGAACAATAATCGACTTTACACCATGCAACAACAATTCGACATCGTCGGCGCGACCCGGCTAGTGCGCGCGCCGCGGCGTTCGATTCGACGACGGTACGGTCTCGGAACGGCGACGCGGTCTTACTTGCAAATACGGACTGCAGTACGACAACACGACTTTGTGGGCTCTCAGCTTGTACCCGTCGGCGCAGCAAATGGTAACGTCCGCGAACTGTTCCGTGTCCATCATCCGTTGCAAGCTGGACATCAGCCGGTCCTCGTGGTTGTCGTGCTCGAAGTCGCCCATCTGGAACACGTCAAATCGCATCGTTATTCGCGAAACACACGGTTAGATGCGTCCGAACGGGTCATCGAAAGGCATAATCGTCGGTACGCGACGGTGCCAACAACCCACGTAATGGGTTCCCCCCTCCCCCCATAAACAATCACGATAACTGTTTACCGTCATCGCGCAACTGCGCCGTGAAATATCACACGATCCGAGAATCAATGAAACCGATCAAAAGTTATCGAACCGTTAGCAGTACGCGGAGCCGTTTCATTTACGTCGGTTTAAATTCCCGAGTTTTTTGGCGGGGAAAATAAAAACCATATCCGGATACCGTGTTCACGCGACCGTCAAACGAAACCTACGCGTTAAGTGCACTTAACAGCATGGTGTTGTGTTAAATACATTTGCCCATTGGTCGAGTTCGCAATGACGATTCACGAATACAACAAAGCAATAATTATTTGTAAATTGCTTAATGTGTACAGATATGTTTTCTTTTCTCGGATGATAATACTCCATCTTCTAAACACGATTGTCCTAATTAATGTAATTGGCTACTTGTTATACGTATATTAGTTTCGTTAATTATAATTTTTAGTGATATCATATTATAATAGTGTGTTTGTTTATAGAAAAAAAAAAACATAACCGAAGAATATGCAAGTTACACATTGCAATTATGCTGCAGACTGCCGCACTAACTAACGGAATACAACCCGTCGACGAGAAAAGAGTTTTAATGAAAAGAAAAAAAATGAAAATTGCAATTTGAAAATATTTATTAATAAATATAATTGAAATTATACGTTCGGTTTCGGAACACTTAATTCGTACCTCGTAGCCATTATTACTGAGAATGGAAATAGATAACCGTGCAATTATGGCTAAATTATACGGTACGCGCATTATCATGCGCCGGTAAAATGACCGACGGAATAAACGTACGAGCCAAACAACGACTTCGCTTTACAACGCCAGCGCGCATACCACATGGAAAACGGATTTTCACTCATATTTGTCTTCTTAATTATAGATCACTGCATGACATGAGCTATTTATTCGAACCAGTACGTGCAGTGAATTGACGACATGATGATAATATTGTATCCGAAGAAAAATTAAATTTCGGCCTGTAAAGTTTGACGGCTGAAGAGTGATTGCATTCAGTGATGGGAATTAAATCCGGATTCTACGAAAAACTGACAAAACCGGATTTCAGATTTCGGGTTAAACATTGCGGATTCTGAATTCTAATTAAAAAATAATTTTTACAATATATGTAAATATATAACAAAATATGTGTAATCATCAAAATGGTATAATGATTCATGTATATAAGAGTACTAATTCAAATTTCGGAAATCAGAAATCCGATTAATTAGAATATCATCCGGTTTTCAAAATTTGAAATGAAAAAGTAGTACAATCAAAACTCAACTTCAAATACTGTTGACATTGAAAACGTAGTTTTCATCTGTAAGTGCTAATGAGTAACATATAAAAATGTTTCAATTTTATAATTTTTATTTTTTTGTCTTTAATATACCTAACTGGAACACATTATATAAGTTTGATTAAATTGGATTATTTTTATATGTAACGCACTTAACCCATAATAATAGTACATCTACAAAATATAACACATTGTAGTAAAGTCTATATGTTTTTCGCTTCGCCCAGAACTAAAAAAAATTGTTATGATAGTATGTAAGTGCAGAACCCTACATTGGTTGATATAAGTTAACATTTTCGGGTAGGAGGATCGTAGTTTCTCTTAGTTTCTCAAGTTCTACCTTGAGCTGTAGCGCTATAGTGAAATATTGTGTCTAGTCGGATTTCACGTAAACATCGTTTACGCACGTTGAATAATATCGATCAGTGGCCATTTCAAAATACGTTTGAAAACGCAACACTTCGTGTAAAATTGTTTCGATTGTTTGAACACTCGCATCATATATTATTTGAAACATCTTTTTTCATTTTTATTTTTATTTTCCGTTAAATGTGGGTTATTTTAAAATTAAACAAAGATTGACTCTTTAAACATCGTAAACGGCTTGACAAAACTACGCTAACGTTAATCATTTTTGACGCAGCTTGTGGACATTCTTTGGAAAAAGTTTAACAGTTTCTGGTCCAACGTTCTCGTGCAACCCTTCTTCCAATCGCCATCGTCGTGACGGACCGCTTTGCACTCATTTGCGCTCACGACGTTGGTGCCGCACCGGCATGCATTATGGCTGTTGCGCTCGTCAGACATGGCTTCGGCCACGGGAATGCTCACCTCGGAGGCGGGGGTGCATTGGTTGCAGGGTTGCCTCAGTCCGAAGTCATAACCACGATGGTCGTAATTGATGTAGGCTGCGGCGGCGGGGGTGGGGCCGATGCGTCTTTTGCTTCCAGGAGCGCGTTCCGGTGGCCGCGGGGTATAGCGAACCGGTTGACTCATGGCCGCCACCACGAATTTCTGTACCCGGCGTTCCCGGTTACGCAACATCCGTTGTCGCGTTTTCTTGTCCGCCGGCGGCTTGGCCCACGTGACATCGAGGCACACGCCCGAAGCCACGTCCCTGGAATAGTCCAAGGCGTCCATGGCTGACTGCGCATCCTCACGCCGCTCAAAGTGCACGAAAGCGTAGTCCTTCAAGCTCTTCACACGTTCCACGACCCCATATCGGCCAAACACACTGGCAAGCACGCGTTCGCTTAGCACGCCGTCGTACTGCTTGACGTACAGTATGCGCACCGTGGCCATCGTGTCCGCGTCCGCCTGCGGTTCCGGGTCCGCCCAGTCCACGATCGTTTTGCATCCGAAAACCTTTTGCTTTGAAAGTGCCCGCTTAGCGTTCGTAGCCGCAGCCACCGACCCGTAGTCCAGGAAGCAGAAGCCCCGGTGCATCGATGGATCGTCAAAGTTATTGTACGTAATCACACGCACTAAATGACCACGCGTTATGCGGCTCACTTCGTCAAAAATCTCCTTTTCCGTCTTAACCTTCGGCAGGTTTCCCAGGTATAGCCTGCACTTTTGGCCGTCGTGTTTGTTGGTCGAAATGCTCTCCGAACGGTTTGTCATCGCAATTCTATTACGTAGTATCATAAACTGTAACTCTTGAGCGTGGTCGACGATACGACGCGTGCGTGATGGTGTTGAAAATTCCTCGTTTCTTAATCGTTTTTTTTTTTAATTCTCTTCCAGTCCACAGTGTTTCCGTTATGTTTTATTCACAATGAACGTTTGATTAATATTTCGTACTTGTTTTACACTCGTTGAAAACACTCGCTATGGGTTATACGATATTGATTTTGTATATATAGCCAGCTGGCTATTACATAGCACTATTTTTAATTGGGTGATTTAGTTCCTTTTATATATATATATATATATATCCTTCGTACGTTTTTTTATCTCATTATGACGCATTATTGTTTTGAAGGTCAACAGTAAATAATATTGTTAGTATATAAGTTAGTATAATATTGTTTAGATTTTCAAAGAATATATAGTGGGGTCCTCGACAATGAAAAACGCATAACCTCAAGACTTTCCGCTTATCTCTGGCATTGGCATCAAAATTCAACCATTTTGGCTTGAAAATCCTGCGGTTTGGTTTGCGTAACTCGAAGCATAATTTGCTTTGGCTAACATTACTCATGACTCCACCAAGTATTATTACGCTATTTCACAACCCGACGGCCCTGTCATTAAATAAGTTAGGGATATACTTTCGAATCCACCGGTAACTGGTAAGTTTGATAAATTATAAACCGAATTAATCGAACGCATCACCTCCTCACGAGCAAAACGCGTCTAACAGTTTTTAACCCACGAAGAAATCGGCGACAGGAAGCCCTCCCAATTTTTGTGTCATCTCGCAAATCTTGATGGTTCCTTGTTCCCACATGATCTCTTGCGTACCTTGTGGTCAAATCGGTTACTTCCTCATATTAAATCTATAACTGCTTCTCAAAGAGATGCTCCTCTTGATGACGTAACAAAACTTGCCGACACGATAAATGAGGTACCATCGCAGGCTGACGTGGCTCTTATTTCACCATCCAATGATATTGCCAGTCTCACGGCCCGTATTGGTAACCTCGCACCAGTGGCGTATCCATGGGAGGGGGGTTTGGGAATCAGAATCCTCCCATGAACCTTAGACGGTAAATTAATTTTTACATAGTAAACATGGTTTTTTCTTTAATATTTTTATATTTTAGAATTTTGACTTGGAAATCAAATTAATAGTTTCTATAAATACTATAAACGTATTATACATACCCTGCACACACACACACACACACAAGTCATGATATTATGCTCATCAGTGGCGTAAATTGGATCCAATTTTTGGTGGTACAGAGGTATATTCTCAACTTATAATTTCCAACACACCAATTTCCCAATTTCCTAAGTAATTCTTCCCATATATTTCTTTAAATAACAAATACATTTTGAATTATTTTAGCAGTAAAACCTTAATTATTATAATATTAAAAAAAAAAAAAAAACAATCAAATTTTGTTTTTAGTATGCTGATTTCCTTGTCTCTTGAAAATAATATTATAGGTATACAAATTTCAATAATTTTCTGGTGGTGCAAAAATATATATTTATATATATTTGCACCACCCAAATTACGCTACTGATGATCATATTTAGATACTTTACTACTACTTTGATAATTTTTTCTCGGGAACATATAATATAGGTTTTCTACTACGGTTGATTTTAAATCGGTCATCTGGTCCCGATAACTGAGATAAAAGCGATATCATTGAAAGTTTATTTTAGGTATACTTATTGCATTCGCGGCTCGCCGATCATTTAACACAAGCACCTTATTGTGTAAAACTTATAGTTATTAGTAGAGCCCGGATTTATATGCATTTAAAAAGTGTCAAATATGATGAAAATATGCAAAGAAAAATGGCTAAATATGCAATTACATGCATTATGTTACACTTTATAAAATGTGCTTTTTTTTTTCTTAAAACCACACTTTATACCAAATAAATTTTAAATATTTTATCAAAAACGAAAAAAATGATAATATCCACTACCTTATATTTCAAATAATTTAAATCAATCTAAAACTTTTAGGAAACTTAAAAACGAGAGTATAAATAAAAAAAAAAAAAAATAAATATTTTAAATCATTTGAAGTACCTACTCTCAAAAAACTAATAGAAAACTATACAAATCTTTTAAAATACTATTTTTGAAACTTAATATCTATTATGTATATTTGTGCTCTATTCGCGGTGATTATAAAATTTACTGTAAATTAAAATATTTAAATTATTAAAAACTCATTAATTATACATGTTATATGCATTAATGAATAAATATGCGAAATATGCAATATAAAATTTGGTATTTAAATTCGGTGCGATATGAATCGTGAACATTTTAAACCTCCATAGAAGTACATTATATTATATAAGTGCATTATATTTGTTTTATTTTAATTTGACATTATTCTAAGACGTCTAAATATTCCATTATGATAAGATATTTTTAAAATTTAATTTTTAGTATACCTAAGTGATTGGATAGAAAATATTCTAATATCTAATATTTATGTTCCTATATTAGTTCCTAGTTCCTAAATTTTTATTATTATTATTATTATTATTATAGGCAAATTCTCTAACAAATAAGCAGACTAGAAAAATTAATTATTTTTCTTTTACCTGAGTCAAAAACACTAATGACAACCAGACTTAAAAATACCGAGATCAAAATACAAATAGTAGTTAAAATGATAGTGATAAGATTAAATATATATAAATTTGCTGAACCCTCCCCTCCATAAAAAGTTCCCTGGTTACGCCACTGCCTCACACAGCAAGTAGCAGCTTTTACAACAACTAGTTGTTCGTACAAGAACACGAAGATTAGTTGGTCACCCAGTGTTCATCATCGAAATGCTTCCACCGAATCAGTTTGCTGGTGTTATCACAGATATTAGGAACGTACCACAAGACGAACTACTCCATGTTTTTTTGTTTCGGAAAACGCACAGGGCAGCGCTTAATGGCGTCTAACGATTGTCTGTAATGATTCAACCACCTTCAAGTCTCCGATTATAAAAGTAAGCTTCAATTTTTAATAGACACTGGTTCTGTCTTGTGTGTTATTCCTCGAAATTCTGTACATGGTCCTCGGCAACGAACTACTTACGAGTTATACGCTGCAATCGGTTCTATTATTCCGACTTATGGTTGGACCCAACTCCAACTCGATCTAAACATCCGTAGAGATTTCTCATGGCGTTTTGTCGTTGCTGATGTTCACACCCAATTATTGGAGTAGACTTCTTGTCTTACTACAATCTCTTGGTCGACACAAACACCTTATTGACAATGTCACCACATTGACCACTCGAGGCACCTTTTTCAATTTTTCCTTTCCTTATGTTAAGGCTATTGTGGTAACTCACGTTATCATGATATCCTTAGTAAATTTCCAGTCATCATCCGTCCATCTGGAATTATTCGTAATATTCGATATGTTACTCTGCATCACATCAGGACTACTTCTGACCAACCAGTTCATCATCGTTTTCGCCGTCTAGCTCTAGATCGTCTGCAAATCACCCGTACTGAGCTTGAGACAATAGTTCGTGATGGCATTGCACATTGGTTAAAGAGTTTCTGGGCATCTCCACTTCATCTCGTTCCTAAAAAGGACAATAGTTGGCGTCCCTGCGGTAACTATAGAGCTCTCAATGTGCAAACTATTTCTGACCGGTACTCCGTCCTCCATATTTTTGATTTTTCTCACGCCCCAATTATGGTTGCACCATCTTCAGTGTTGTTAATTGAGCAAAGGCGTTTACCTAGATTCCAGTCGCTCTAGATGACATTTCGAAGACCATTATCATTCCCCCATTTGGTCTATTCGAGTTCATGTTCATGACTTTTGGCCTTCGAAACGCAGCTCAAACATGACAACGTTTTATTGACAACGTTCTACACGACCTGCCTTTCTATTTCGGATACTTAGATGACATTTTAGTGTTTTTTCGTAATAAAAACGAACACATAGAACACCTATGTGCAGTTTTTCAACGTTTCTCCTTCTATGGAATTTATATTAATCCGAAAAAATGTGTACTTGGTGCGCTCCTGAAGTCACCTTTCTAGGCTACGTGACCTCTTCTTATGGCTGTTGTCCTACTCCAGATAAAGCTAATGCTATTCAGACTTCTCTCCAGCCTTCTATGGTTCTACAACTTAAACAGTTCTTAGGAATACTTGATTTCTACCGACGACAAATCGTCCGCCATCGCAACCTCTAGAAAATTATATGGCCTATTTAAGCGTCTCACCACATATATATACAACCAGTTTCTTTTCTCATTTTCTTATGTAATGTTAGTCATTGTGCGGTCATTATGTTGTCCATTTAATAATAACACTTTTATAGTTATTTTCTGTGTTCATTTCTCACACCCCCAAGTCAAATAATTATAAACCTTAGCTTTTAACTATGATTTTGAGCAGTAATGATAGTGTTCATGTCAACGTGTATGAGAAGGCAACGAAGTCTATCAACGATGCACTATAACGTTGTAGACAAATATAATAATTGTAATACCGAATAGTAAATGTGATATCGTGGAATTAGACGGTTCTAGGGGTGTGGAGAGAACCCGGGTGAATGTGAGAAAATTTCAAATAAATCGTTGAGGACCAACGCAGTTTATGTAAGAGATTTTTACTTGGTGTATTACGAACGATAATATGGAAACAGCCATTTTACCAGTTTGTAATTTCCCAATAATTGTAATATTAATCTGCTTGCGATCGAGTGCGCCCATCATGAAATCTCTATTGTTTTATTATTTTTTTATTTGTTGTATTAGTTTGCTATGTATAAGCTTCGGTGAGCGCTATCAAATGAAGTGTTAAACAAAAATTGTTAAAAAAATTAGTATACTTTTTAGTCGCTGTTTCGTAACGAATTCACATTCGAACGGTGAGAAACAACGCAGAAGTCGATCGTGAAAACATTAAAGTTTTCGCTTCTGTATATTATATTGTTTATCGATCCGCGTTTACTGCAATACGGGTTTCCATACAAGAATACCGTACGAGTAGATAATGTTCGTGAAAGTGCGTTTAATCCGACCTTAATACTTACATGTGTATGGGTATTTCTTGCCAACGAATAATTTATTGCGAAAACATGGTTATCGATGAAGTGCACGAGGAACAATGCGCTGGTACGACATTCGTGAGCATTTCATAATATTGTGTTCAGAAATGCAAAGAAGCTTTGCGTGACTTACAATGTGCGGTCCATAGTCAGTATACGAATGATTAGAAAATATGCGCGTAGCCGAAGTTCGAGGGAGTTCGTATCCAGATGACTTGGGTATATCTAGTTTTACAGAACTGCGTTCGCGTCTTAATTAAATATTCAGTAGTTCGGTAGGCGTATGTGTTCAGGCACTGTCTAGTGTTACCGGCTTGCAGTGGACCATCGGCCGCGGGAGGTGAGTATCCCACTGTAATGCAAACGAGTTCGATACCTATATTCTTTTGTTGCGTTTCAAAATCAGCTGTACAATGAAAAGGAATTGAAAAGATTAATTAATTAAGTTTTAGATTGAAAAACATGTTGAACCACCAGCATGACACGCATCGTACAGTACACCTTCTCTTTCGACTGTTAATTAATCAATTTTTATTTTCATATTAATTGCTGCTCCGCGTAGATTCCGTGTTCTAATGCAATGTGATTATTAAAAACTTAGTGATCGAATCATTTAAAATGAGACAATTATTCTTCAGAAAGATACATTTTCTTAACATCGGATTAGCTTAAAAGTAACATAAAATTACCGATATCGATTAATTATAATAATATTATTCATAGTTGTAAACTAATATACGACATTAAAATAGTCTTTTTTTTACTATGCATTGGTGAATTTGGAGTATTTTTTAATCAAATCCGATGTAGCTAAATTAAAACAGCACGATGAGCAATATACATGCTAAATCCTATTTACTATATTCAATAGATCAATACGTGCAAAATTAATTTAAATAATATAATATATACTATAGGTATTTATTGTACGATATAAACATTTGAATTTTATTTATGAAAAAGTACCTAGATAACAGTAATATTTTTAACATATTCAATACAAGTTATTTTTCTGTACTCGAAATATGTCACCGCGTTCAATATAAACAAGTAATATTATTATATACTATATTGTACCATATTGGTAAATATTTGTACTTGTAGTTTGAACTTCCAGTGATAATTACGTATTTTATAATTCATGTTTCAATGTAATACAATGTTCGAGTTATATAATAATACATATTAAAAAAAAAAAAAAATGTTTACGAGATATATAAAAATGTTAAAAATCGCCGGTTATAGTTTTGAAATCGATCTTAATGTTAATCCCTGTTTGAATGAAAAATTAAAATATATTGTTTATTGATAAATCCATGCATCACTAGATTTATCGTTATAATAACATTACAAATATTAATTAGTTTTTGTATAAATACAAAATTTGTAACCGAAAAACGCGACATACACAAAAGTACGTTTACCTATTATGATCACATAATTAAATAACAATTTTATCCTTTTGTAAAAGTATAAAATATCTAAAAACAATTAAGTGCTTAGAAGATATATTTAAGAAGTAAAAAGGGAATTGAAAATACATACCGCCCACTCGGAGTATTCATTAAAGTAACTGCACAAGGCTGTAAGGTTTATGACCTTAAGTTAGCAATAAAGCACATCCTACTCAAATGTATTAGTTGGGTTGAAAAGCAAATGTTCCAAAATTCAATAGTTGCTGTAGGATAGAACACTTTCACAAACGATAATTACACGATGTTATACATTATTTAATAATAAGCATAACAAAAGGTAATGCGTTAAACTTTAAGTATAATACATTTGGTTTATAAAGTTAGTAAAGGTTTACGTCAAGTACGAGAGCGAACATAAATCAACAAAGAATTGGTACTATACTTATTTATTATTTAATTACTGATATAATAATAGGTTAATGATTTATTTACTTTAATTTACAGACGAAAACCGATCTCATATGGTTGCAACCAACTTTTTTAATACTATAATTATTGTTTAATGTTGTTCTTGACCTTTGTTTGATCTTAAATTTTAAATCATCTAATCACTCAAGTAAGACATTCAGGTGATCAGTTAAAACAATCAATAGGTAACTTCAAACATCCTGAAACATTCTGTCACGACGAATACCATTTTCGGTTGAATAATTGTGTGTGAATTGTTATACACACTCAATGTGCATACAAGTATGACTGACCAGTATAACTACAGGTTGTTTTAAGTTCAATCGATTGTTCGTTTAAGTTATTGCTATAAATGAAACCTAAACCTAACCTAACCTAACCTAACCTTTTAAACAATCACTTGTACTATAGAAAAAAAAAAGAAGTTAATTATAGTTAGTTATTTTATGAATTTGTTAAAATCGATTATCTGTTCAGCTATAGTTCAAACTTTACAGCATTCTTTATTATACTGTGCCATAAACATCAAATTTTTAACGTAAAAAAAATTACTCAAAGAATTAGCCTCAAATACGTATTTCCAAATCACAAAATATAAATTTATAACATTATCAGGTTTACTTTTTTCGTAGTATTTCTCAAGTATTTGAAAATCACCTAGGGTTTAAAAAAAAATACGTGTATGGACTCCAATACGTCTCCAAGTATTCGTATTAAAAAGTTGTTACGCGAATACCTCGGTGCTGATACATAAAAAAAAACGTGTTAGCGGGGGAAAAAAACGTTAAACCGATACGCTGCTCGTTAAAATCAAAAAAAGAAAAGAAAAATGTAACAACCAGAAACTGAAATGTATACCACGGTCCTTACGAAAAATAGTTATAATAAATTGCATAAATAGAATGGACATTTCAACAACTGAAAAAACAAAATAACATCTCTTCCATGAAATTGTTTTCGTAGAATAGTCCATTGTTGCATCGATCCCTGCATTACCTTTTCCGAGAACATGAAGAAAAATAGTACGTGTGGATCTCGTGAAAAGGTGATCTTAGTATTTTTTTGGTCCGCACACTTAAACAGTTACTTTCCGTCCTTGATTTAATATTGATATTGATTGAAGTGCAATTTTTTTTTTATATCGCAATAAAACAAACGCAGTACTTTAAAGAAATAAATTAAGACTATGGGGGGGCAGATAAACACGGTGATCTATGTGTGAAGTAGCGTGTGTATGCGTTTTTAGAATATATCGCATGAAGGAGGTGTGGGCAATAGGTTATATTAATCTATGAAATACACAATCAAAGTCTAGACCACCGTGTTTAGTATGACTGTAAATAATACGATTTTAAAGTAGTTGAACTAGGGTTTAACAATTAAAACAAGCTTCATGAAACTCAGATCAAACCTGTGGTAAACGCGAGTATAAATGTAGTGAAGTAAAGAAGAAAAAAAAATATAGAAAAAATGCATTAATCTCGAATTACTGTTGTCAATAAAGAGGTCTTGTCTTTAAATTTGATCGTATTTATGTCGATCTATGAGAATTTTCTCTCCTATCTATGATTTCATTTCTCATTAAATTGTACATAATATATAAAAATAAATACATACATATATATATATATATAAATATATAGAAAATTTGAAAAAAAGGAATACTTAACCTCAAAACTTAATCTCAAATACTGTTGACATTGAAAACATGGTTTTCATCTGTAAGTCAAAGGCGTATTTGAGGGAGTGGTGAAGGGGGCATTTTCTCCCTATGGCTCGTATTTTTTTTTTGAATACAATACGTTGATATATTTAAAAAATGTAGTGTATAAATAATTAAGAATATAAATTACTAGTCTATTATTATAACAGAAAAATTAGCTGTATGAAATAAACTGTAAATTATATTTAAGTTTGTATTGAAAAAAAATTAGTTTCACCGCCGCCCCCCCTTCCCATGGCCACAACTCAAATACGCCCTTGCTGTAAATGCTAATGAGTAATCTATAAAAACGTTTCATTTTTATCATTATTTAAATTTTTTTGTCACTAATATAACTGGAAAAATATTTTATCATTTTAATTAAATTGGATTATTTTTATATGTGACGCACTAAGCTCATAATAGTATTACATTTACAAAATATAATACATTGTTTTAAAGCCAATATGTTTTTCGCTTCACTCAAAATTTAAAATGTGTTGTGATAGTATGCAAGCGCCGAGCCTACATGGGTTGTTTTAAGTTAACGGTTTCGGGTAGGAGGAACGTAGTTTCTCTTAGAATTGTAATTCTAGTTGTAAGTAGTGCTGTAGCGCTATAGTGAAATATTGTGTCTAATAGGATTTCACGTAAACAACATTTACGCACGTTGTGATCCATTGCGCTTTCCGTATTCCCGGATGCCATGATATCGATCAATGGCCATTTCAAAATACGTTTGAAAACGCAATACTTCGAGTTTTAATTGTTTTAACATTCCTGTAATGTTGATTAAATTATTTCAAACAACTTTTTTTTCATTTTATTTTTTATTTTATTTTCCCGTAAAATGCGGGTTTTTTAACATTAAAGATAAATCGACTCGTATAAACATCGTTAACAGCTAGACAACATTATGGTGATGTTAACCGTTTTTGGCGCAGTTCATCGGAATTCGGTCGAAAAAGTTCAACAGTTTCTTGCCCGAAGTTTTCGTGCAACCCTTCGTCCATCGTCGTGACGAACCGCTTTGCACTCGTTCGCGCTCGCGACGTTGGTGCCGTACCGTCGTGCACTGTCGCTGTTGCACTTGTAGGACATGGTCTCGGCCACTGGAATGCTCACCACAGAGGCTGGGGTGCACCGGTTGCAGGTTTGCCTCAGTCCAAAGTCGTAACCACGATGGTCGTAATTGATGTAGGCTGCGGCGGCGGGGATGGGGCTGACGCGTCTTTTGCCTCCAGGAGCGCGTCCCAGTGGTCGCGGGGCGTAGCGAACCGGTTGACTCATAGCCACGACCTTGGATTTCCGTACCCGGCGTTCCCGGTTACGCAACATCCACTGTCGCGTTTTCTTGTCCACCGGCGGCTTGGCCCACACGACGTCGAGGCACACGCCCGAAGCCACATCCCTTGAACAGTTCAGCGCGTCCATGGCCGATTGCGCATCCTCACGCCGTTCAAAGTGCACGAAAGCGTAGTTCTTCAAGCTCTTTACGCGCTCCACGATCCCGTATCGACCAAACATCTTGGCAAGCACGCGTTCCTCCAGCACGCCGCCGTATTGCTTGACGAATAGTATGCGCACCGTGGCCATCGTGTCCGCGTCCGCCTGCGGTTCCGGGTCCGCCCAGTCCACCTTCGTCTTGCATCCGAAAACCTTTTGCTTTGAAAGTGCCCGCTTGGCGTCCGTAGCCGCAGCCACCGACCCGTAGTCCAGGAAGCAGAAGCCCCGGTGCATCGATGGGTCGTCAAAGTTCTTGTACGTAATTACACGTACTAGATGACCACGCGTTATGCGGCTCACTTCGTCGAAGATCTCCTTTTCCGTCTTAACCTTCGGCAGGTTGCCCAGGTACAGCCTGCACTTTTGGCCGTCGTGTTTGTTGATCGAAATGCTCTCCGAACGGTTCGTCATCGCGATTCTATTATGTGGTATCATACACTGTAACTCTTGAGCGTAGTCGACGATACGACGCGTGTGTGATGGTGTCGCGAATTCCTCGTTTCTTGATAGATTTTTTTTTTAATTCTCTTCCAGTCCACAGTGTATCCGTTATGTTGCCAAGTTAACAATGAACGTTCGATTAATATTTCGTACTTGTTTTACATTCGTTGAAAATACTCGCTATGGGTTATTCGATATTGATTTTGTATACATAGCCAGCTAGCTTTTACATAGCACTGTTTGTAATTGAATGATTTAGTGCCTTTATATACACATATATATATATATATACTATTTGTTATTTATTTGGTATATTTGTTGCACGTAAAAAAAAAAACTTGAAACCGATGCACACGAGGTACCGTGATCGAGTTCGAAATGTTGATGATGTGATTACCGCCGACGTTACGCATTAACAATGGTTATAATTTGTCAACCGGAAGTGATATATTTAGCCGATCGCCTACGAATGCCGGCGGGCTCGTTGTCTCGAAACGCTGCAAGTGCAAGCCGCCAAATCGTTGTTAACCCTAAGGATAATGCGTAACGATAACCGACCGTGTAACTGACTTCTTGGGTCATACGGGTAACGTTATAATCGAAATACGCACGTGCACCATCATGTGCACATTCTTGAAGATACGGAATCGCAGCCGACATCCCCTAGTAGTAGTTTATGTATGAATCGCATAAACATGGCTAAATATCGTGTCTCGACGGTTATTCGACACACAAATACAGTTCACCCGGATGCTAGAATACAACACATGAGCGGCGGTTTTCGAAAATTTCCTCTCGATCTCACGCGCTATGATTTCGGGTCATGTCAGGCACGTATTTAGGGGGGGGGGAACACGGGTAATCACAAGCTCGGGGGTGTCATGTCTCAGGAATGGCAAAATATTTTAGCAAAATTAATTTTAAAAATTATGTACCTAATGAAAAAAAAAATCAAACAATAAAAATATTAAAATAGTATGTTTTTTTACGCTATAATTTTTAAGTTAAAAAAAAATTGTATTTTTTTTATATTATAATCTGATAATTAAATGAAAAGGAAATTGTGTGTTTTATTATGTTATAATTTGTTTAATTTGTTAATTAGAAAAATTATTAAACGATTTTAATTTATAGGTTATATTTAAATATTAAAGAATCTCGGTTATGGACGAAATTATAGGTGTTATATTATTATTATTTAACTTTTGGGAGGGGAGGCATAAATGATATGCTTGGGGGCGCTAAATTTATAAATACGGGCCTGGGTCGTACACTCGCAATCCAGGCGTTGCACGGGCGCGTCGGGCTGTGCACAGAACGCGTCGATCAGACGATGTAAAAACCGCTCGACGGGTTCTGAATACGTATGCAATGCTGGTGATCGGATATTGTTGTTACCACGTCAAGTCGTCTGGGATGTTATCACGAAGACGAACATAAAATAATAGTAATACGCTCATTTTTTCCACTTGGATATAATGCACGTTGGTTTCCGTACATAATCGTTCGCCCGACCAACGATTATTAGTAAGGTAGTGAAATTGTTGCCTTTTTTTTTTTCTAGAGACGCTTATATTGGTAGCTGAATGATCTTAAAGCGAGTTTTTTGTCACGCCTGCACCGGGAGTTTGGTTTCCGACCGTGGTTGAAGCGTTGGAAAGCGACGTTTTTTCTTTTTCAGCGGGCGATAAACTGGGAATCCCCAAATGTGACAACCAGAAACTGAAATGTATACCACGATCCTTACAAAAAATAGTTATAATAAATTGCATAAGTAGAATGGACATTTCAACAACTGTGAAATGAAATAACATCTCTTCCATGAAATTGTTTTCGTAGAATAGTCCATTGTTGCATCGATACCCGCATTGCCTTTTCCGAGAACGCGACGAAAAATGGTGCGTGTGGATCGCGGGGAAAAGCTATCTCAGTATTTTTTTCGCCCGCACACCGAAACAGTTACTTTTCGTGCTCGATTTAATATTGATTTAAGTGCAACTTTTTTTATGTCGCAATAAAACGCAACAGTTGTCGTTTTTCGTATGTTCGTTTTTTACAATCCGAAGAACGTTTAACTCGTTGCTAATACTGTAAAAATATTCGTATTTGACTTGATTTTTTCAAAGGCAAGAGCACAAATGTTACTATTTCTGCACGACAATGCACCGTTTCGGAACGTTGAAAATCATCGGTCTAATTGCACACGACTGACACGTCGTCTCGTGCGTTCTTGCGCGTACCGCGAGTCCGCCTAACACTTCAAACGGCCGCGGAAAAAGACGTATTCGAATGTTACGCATATGTTTACGTTTGTTGTTCGCGCGCACGGAATCCACGGCCGCCAACGACGGGACACGCACGCACCATATCGAGTGAAGCGGTCGTTTCGCCGAGGACGGGGGAAAAGAAAAAAAGGTAAGGTAAAAACCGGTCCAATAATGTTATCGCTTGCACGGTAATGTAATTAACACACATTGCGTTAACCCGGGCACATACGCTTTCGTGTTGTACGCGTATACGTCGCGTAAAATGAAAATAAAAAGATTTGATATTTACACAGTCGTCGGGATTTTATTACGCGTGCATTATTATTATTATTATTCATCCGGTGTCGACTTTCTAAATTTCTGGAAGACAACTCGTTTCGAAAACGGTTTTTGCGAGAAAAATAACGCTATAATACGTGATAGTAAATTCTCGTACGCGCGCCATACGCGGATATTGTAGAAACACGAGAAACCGATTTCATCGCGAACCATACGGAACGTCGTCGTCGTCATCGTCATCGTAATTTAACAGCAGTTTCGATTTTAGCCGCGACCTCGTCGACAGACGGTGCTCTGTTGTATCGATATGTTGGCGCGCACCGTAAGAGCACACTTTTATTTTTCCGTCGCCTAATATAGCACGTATTATTGTTATTAGTCCATTAACGGTGTCGCTGATAAGAGTTCACTCGCAATAAAAAAACAATGTGCAACGCATTATTTACGTCGTTACATAACATGTATTTGGGCAGCACCGCCGTGTACGACCATCATCACCAGCCGATTTTATAATAGCCGAATACTCCGATGTTTATGTCCATCGAAAAAACCAATCTCTCTTCACCTTTATTCGATAATATTAATTAAAGAAATCCATATTCGCTAAGAATCCATCGTACTTCGTGACCGTTTTCCTGGCTGGTGAAACAGGAAGTTGATAGAACAAACCAAACCTAAGCTGACGGTCAACACTTCGTGAAGATATAATACAATGTTTTTGATTTTGGAATTGAGAGTTCAATTGTTTCAAACCACCTTGGAAAAATAATACCTCGAGTTATCAATAGTCGATCGGTGCAGGCTCTTCAGGACAATTATTTTAAAGGACGTTCTATATTTTATCGAAGTGGCCTTTTTTTAAAAAATTTTTATTTTATCATTTTTTTTGCTCTTTTGATGTTAACGGTTTGTGCTTTTTTTAAAACTTATTTTCGAAAAGTCTGTTTTTTAGGATAACAGCTATTGGTATTTGATAAATCGTACATAATATAAACCTCGCGAGTCTATTTGATACAATTATGTGTTTTTCAAATTGTGCTGTCGCATCTACATTGATTGTTTCGTATATAACATCTGATTGCTAATAATAATTAATGATTAATGTTATGTAATCGGGTGAAAATAATGAAAGTCGTTTGGGTCTCGAAGCTCTAAATCTGAAACTTCTTACAATTTTCATCGCGAAAAATGTATTTCCTTTGGCTTTATTAGGGATACTACAATAGTGATTTTATAGACAAGATAACAAAGTATTTTAAAAATCTAATCATTGATATGCGACGTTAAATTTTATAGTTTGTTATTTACTTATTGGCACGTTTTAGTTTAATATATTAAACTGTACAATATTCTCATCTACTCGTATCCTACGACTAAACGTTCCTGGTTTTCATAAAAATATATTATCTAGTCACTATATTGCGTAAAATACATAACGTGTATTGTTATACCATGTTATTTTTTTATTTTTATTATTACCAATGCAGCTAACTCGGTATGTATTATTATGTATACATTATTCAATTCGTGTTCTTGAAAATATTCGGTTATCATTGTCATAAGTGTTACAACAAAATTCTTTAGACTTTAATTTATTTGATAATATTTTTATTTTTCACGAAAATAGTAGGAACTCTCCGTTCCATGCGTAACGGGAATATTCAAATATACGCAACAAATCGCAGTAGTTATAAGAAATAAATATATGAGGTAATTCACTATATAAATTATATTAGCATTTAACATATTATTATTTTGAAGGCCTAATAATTTAAATTAATTTTAATTCTGATGCGAATCGTCCATAAGACGTGTCAAAAAAAAAAAAACTAGTTTTTATAATTTTTAGCTTCAAAATAATGAATTATAACCTTAATACGAGACTCTTACTTGTATCACTTTAAAATACATACAGATTGGAAACAGTTCTATCGCGTTCTTATTGCTTTCAATTAACTTAAGGTTACTGATTTTTTTCCACACGATGTCTTAAATAAACATGTCTTACTAAATCACACGTGTAAAAAAATAACTAAATGTTGATTTTTTTTATAATTGCAAAATGGAAAAATGAATAATAAATCGTATAATAAATGGCAGAGTTTGATTTACGAATGTTGGAAGGAACCGAAAATAATAAATCTTTCATTAGTTGAATTCGAAAGTGAAAAATAGGTCGTCTATTTTAATAGAAATTCCATTATTGGATGTTTAATAAGCCGTAATGCATTTTTGTGCAGACTATGCGTGTCCTGATGAATAAATTATAGTTTTATGATATTATAGATTTATGTTTAGTTTACCACTAACTGAATCAAATCTGCACAATCAAGTTTCGGCTTCCGTGTTCACATGTTGCATCTACGGTGGTAGTATAACGTGCGATTGGGGATATTGGAACCTCACTTCGTGATATCTATCTACTATTCAGATCTGATGCAGATTTGCCAAGTAACTATATGCATGATAGTTTATAGCAATCAGTTGTCGTTAGTAATAATATTTCTTTTTTAATTATCTCAGTGGTAGAGGCGAGAGCACGGAAAAAATAATTACCGCTTTATACTGATTAATCATGTTCGCAAACGTCACTGAAAGATGTTGTCTCGCGTATTCCTTTCGAATTCAACGCTCGAATGTTCGGATATGAATCTAACACGTTATCGTTGGTTCACATTCTGATGTATTGATATACAGTTTACAAATCCTACACACCAGAGTCATACCCAATCGAACGCATGTTTGTGTCGCTAGCAAAATATAATTCGTATTGATGCGGTAGGTAATTAATAACGGTGCATAGGTATTACTTGAGTCCGAGATTATTATCAGTAGGTAATTTGCGTCCCACCAAAAAAGGATCAAAAAATGTCATAACCCATTTGTGTCCAAGAGTACCTTTTGAGGTACGAGTCCGTTTTCGACCAAAACCGTACTCTTCCCTATTCGGCCGATTCACTTTTTGACCAAATTTAAAATAGGCCGATTCCCTTTCCGACCAAAACAAAAATTTATATAATTCATTTAAAATAATAAAATAATGATATACAATGTTTGATTATGATGGAAACTACTATAATATATTAATGACGATTTAGGGTTTTACTCGCGTAGTGAGGTTTTAAGTTCACATACTGAGTAAAACCATTTGCAACAGTATCAAGGTTTGTACAAAAACTAGGTTAGGCTTAAACTATAATTTTCCTTAGGGCGAAGTCTCCCCCCACCGAAAAAAGCCACACAGTGGCACTTGAGTTTGTAAGGTGATCCGGCAGGCGTAACGATCGAAGTCCTAACATTTTTAAAATTAAAGTTCCGATTTTTCGAAAAAAAAATGCAAACAATTTTCATTACGATAAGAGATCAAATTTTTTTATATTATTTTAATTTATTTTGTTTTTAAAATGTTGGATGAGTGTACTAATTTTTACTAAAAAATTTATATTTTTATATTATTTACCTATTTGTTTTTGGTTGAAATTTTAATACAGTGATTTTCACATAATAAAATCTAGAAAATATTAAATGTACATGATTATATACGAGTACATATATTTCACAATAACGGTTCTAATACTAAATAGATAAAACAATCAAAGGGAAAAAATAATAAAAATGAAAATACACTCTTGAAATGGCATACATTAAAAAAGAAGAGTTTAGAGTATTCAGCACTGGTTACGATTACAGTTTATTTATTAGTTGTGTTTCTGATAGGAATTGGATGAGCTTGTAGATGTTAGTGGGCTCAGGGTTGAATATTTCGATTAGATGGTCAGAAAGTTGAAAGTGTTAAAGTTTAAAATTGTTTTCTTAAAATATTTCTTTTTTAATTTACCAATTTTTCCGAGAAATGTTTATTATTCAGATGACGTTCAATAATACATTAAAGTTTAAACAGTTCAGTTATTTAATCAATGTTTATTTTATTTAACACAATATTTAACATAAATTATAATTGAATTCTGTATTCTCTTTTTTGTCACTAAAATTAACAATTTCGAAAAGCTGCATTCTTTTTGACGAAAATAGCAATAGAAAATTATAGAATTAAAATCAACATATGTAACGGTGGACATAATAACCATTAGAATAATATTAACACATTGACTAAATATTGATAAAATAGTATAACATGAGAGATAAGAAGACGCATTTATGTTATAAATATATATACTAACTGACCCAGCAAACGTTGTTTCGCCATATATTTCTAGTATTTCTAGTACAAAAAATACTTACAACTTATTATAAATATCTTGGAATTGGGTCTATGATTGAAAGAGGAATGTAGCCCTGTGGACGATGATGGCCTATACAAATTACAAAACGCCAGCCATTTACTTCTTTACTTTACGTCGAATATTGTTGGCCATTCTCTTTGCGTATATTTTGAAATGACAATGGACCGGTGACATTAACCAATAACAGGTAGAAGCACTCTGTCTTGGATTGACTATGTAAACTCGGTCCAAAGTGTTTAATTCGAATAAACCTGGGCATGCATCAACTGGTATTCCTTGCTTACATCCATTTTTCTCTTGAGCTCATGCGAAGAAGCGTGTTACTTCGGAATAAAGTAGTGTTCGTGCAAAGGCACCAAAAGAATCGAATCACACAAATCGAAAAATGCAGTGCATTTATGTTGTATATATTTTACTTTTCTGCGATTAATTACTCTCAAAATCTATATAGATTTATATGTATAATATGATGATCGACGTTGAAAAAAATAAAACCAATACCAGCGTCCATTAAATCACACCGTAATAACTATATACGGACATATCCATTAAAAAGGTATTTCGTTTCAAATCATTAGTAAACGATTTAGGTCTGCTAATATATCGTTGCCGATGAAGACTTTTC